GGAGATCCAGGGACATTGAATCAAGAAAAGAGACTAGACATCTAGTTCAACGAGTTACACAACTCTAGAGACAGTATACAATGCATACTGTTTCCAGACAAGAAAGAGGATGAAGTGCAAACAAAAGTCGCAAGATGCAACACGGGGAATTCCTACTGGGTGGTAAAAACCACTCTTCACGAGGATGTTAAATTTTAACAGGGTGGGCAGTCCCCATGGCTAGAAATGCTTAAAATGTCCAGATGTGATCTGAATATCCAGATCTAACCTGAAAGGTTTGTGCAGAGGGTTGAACCCAATGACTTTCAGAGGTCCCTTCCAATCACATTCTACGACTAAGCCAACATATTAAGCTTGGCATCTGTTTTTCTTTCCAACATTCAACTACAGATTTCAGCTACATTTCTTATACTCGCAAGAGCAAGATGACTTGCTGCTCCAACAACAAACCTTACAAAAATCCAAACAAGAGGCACCATTACCCCAACAACTAGCTAAGTGTACCAAATAATTGTTTATTTCATGATTACATTTAAGAATGTACTTTGAGTCTCTAAATACTGGGCAGGTGCCATTACACTTGGGTATAAATTGAGTAACACATCATTAAGTCTTAAGTTATATGCTAACAAGCAAAAGCAACAAAATAGGCATTAGACAGCTAAACTAAAATTGTTTCCAACATTGGTGCCATTGTATAACAAATTAATCCTTAAGGGAATTAAAAAAACCGAAACAATACCACTTAGTTTTACTACATCTCCTACTATATATTTTGAAATTTTGAAATTCTGTATTCAATTTCTTTTCCTCTTATTTTAAAGACTTCCTGTAAATAGCAAAACATTTCACAGCCAGTGCATTTAAAGCAAATCTGTATTTCAGATGAATTTCTCAAAAAGGTTACAAGACTAAGACCAGATTCCAGGCACATATAACATCTAAAGTGAAGATCACGATGTATGCTTTTAACAGGAACACATATTCTCTGTACCCTGTACAGCACCTAAGTGACTTTAAAAAGACTTTTTGGAAACAATCCAAGCTCTCAAGCTGCAAGTCCAAGTTTCGATTATTTAAGACTAATGAAATACAGCTATCAGGTGCCCTAATAGCAGAAGACCATACTACATACTGAATCTTTTAATTAGCTTAAGTAGCATACTTTCATACTTTTAGTTTTCACTGTAGATGTACTTTTGTTATAGTAGCACTCTGTACAAAACCAAAACTTCCCAGTTTAAACTGAGGGAGACTACTTTTTAAATTTCTTTATACAATAGCAATTCTAGAAGACTAGAAGTACCCACAGTTGGTAGAGGTAGCTACATATGAAGACACTGCCAAAGTCTACAATCACAGAGCACCCAATTGCACAGATGGACTGCCAGGAAACAAGTAATGCATCTTAACGGCCCTTCCCTCTTGTCAGGGCTGTGGAAACACTGGTCACACCATTATCTGTAAAGGGTTGGGAAATGGGATTATCCCCAGCATCCTGTATGTAATGGAGAGGCCTAATTGTCCTTGGGCATGTGCTCTTAGGTTGTTAGAACTGTCCCATTTACATTAGGCATGGCATTTCAGTGAGCTACAAATCCACCACAGGTTTACAAGTGGTGTTACCATCCATGGGATGTCTAGAATTCAGAACAGAGATTTCCATATGTATGCTTTTCATAAAGAAATGATTCATAACAGCAAGGTACATTAACTGGGAAGCAAGAATATCTAAGGCTGTTATTTATTCATAAAGATGATGAATAGTTTGATGAATCTAACTTCTAACAGCTCCATGTGGCAAGCATCTAGTGTTGATAACTACATTGAGTAAGCATCAACAAATCAGATGCTGTATCTGGTGGCAGACTGAGGTTAATATTCTCAACTTCTGCAAAGTATCTCTTCCACATATCCCAGCAGAACTGGAGAAGTTTGAGTTTAGCTTGTCAGCATCATTACTAGCTAGACTGAAACACCTACTATTGCAGGACTGAAAGATTGCTGCTATGGAAGTGACCACATTTATTTCCAAATAACTGAAATAACTGCAAGCTAGCCACTTCTCATTTGCTGTTCCTTCTGGAACAAAAGTTCTCTACAGCATAACCATAAACTAGTAAGCAAGCAGGAGGAAAAAAAAAAGTTAATAAGAAAGTGAGAACAGTAAAGACCATACCTTTGATTTAATCCGTAATAAACGTTGTTCTACTTCTTCAATATCTTCAGTGTTCTCTAAACGTTCGTAAGCTGCACTGGTAGTTCCCTTAATCAAGTTTAGGGGCAAAGCTGACATTCCATAAGCCTAAAATATAAAAGTGAACATACATACTCAAATTTCCTGCCATACATTTTCATCTGGTAAGGCTGCTGTACATTACAGCTATAAGGTATCACTGCTGGGTTTTCCTTTTTACCCTCCCACACCTTTCTTTTACAGACTCTTAATGAAACAATCCCTTTCCTTTTTTGAGCAAAACATAACAAACATGCTGTGCAGATTCCAGCATCCCACATTGTTCCAACAGTACTTAAATATCTCACAATCACTGAGACAATAGCAAGTGTTAGTACTTCACATAAGCATAGCCCACTGAAGATTTATCAAGCTAGCCTTTGTGGGTTTTTTTGTCAAATCATTCCGCTTCCCAAACGCTCAACTTCCCACTTCAGATCACAATAAAAACTTTATATAATACAGGAATTTCTAGATATTGACCCTAAATAGTTTTAGAAGCAAATATACACAATTTCTTCATATCCAGTAGTCTTCAACTTATTCTTAAAATTCTTTAGAAAGTACCTGGTTCACTAAAAAAAATCTGCAACAAAGACACAGCAAAAGCTAGGTGAACACCTAAACTCAGTTACATTCAAGGCTGCTCAGATACTCACACCATAAATTTTGTTGGCATTTACTCCTAGCTATAAATCCTATACTATTCAAACTGTTTGCCAACTTCTACACACTATGGCTAGATTTTTCCAATGGTAAACCTGTAAGATTTCCACTAACCTAAGAAACAGATATTTGAGGAGAGGCAAACAAGAAAATACCACAATTTCATAACTGCCACCTATGAGTCTTACAGACCTAGGCCAAGGTCAGAAGTTTCTCCAAGCAGTTTAGAGACATTGGCTACTGACTTTATTTAAAAAAAAATAAACGTGGGTGGGAGGCTGTTGGCAATATGGTCTTCTTGGTGCAGAGCTCAGCAGAAAGGTTTTTCTTTTGTTTCTCTTAATGACATTTAACATGTGCAGTTTTACTTTATATCTGAATATTCCCTAACTTCAGAAATGAGCATTTTCTACATTTTCACAGGAATATCACTCCCTCCTTTGAGCACAGCGTTACATTTCACACTGGGAATAGATTTAACACAAATGCTAATGTGTTATAAATGTCACCACACATGCTGCGAGATCACATGAGCTTTCTGTACACAAGACTTGATTCGACCTGCTTAAGAACCTACTTAGATATACTAACGTCTCACGCATTGTACTCAAAGCAAGACCCAGTCCATTTTTGGGGTGTATTTTTCAACACATCTTACACCTTGCCACCAACATCCATTCCTAAACTCTTTTAATAAAGAGGTCTTATTTACAGAATCACAGAATCATCAGAGTTGGAAGGGACCCGTGGAGATCATCTAGTCCAACCCCCTTGCTAAAGCAGGACTGCACAGAGCACATCACACAGGACTGGATCCAGGTGAGTTTTGAAAGTCTACAAACATGGAGACTCCACAACCTCTCTGGGCAGCCTATTCCAGTGCTCTGTCACCCTTGCAGTAAAGAACTTCTTCCTGTGTTCCAGCTTGTGCCCATTGTCCCTTGTCCTGTCATTGGGCATTACTGAAAAGAGTCCAGCTCCATCCTCCCTGCATCCACCCTTTAGATATTTATAGACACTGATAAGGTCACCCCTCAGCCTTCTCTTCTCCAGGCTAAATAGTCCCAGCTCTTTCAACCTTTCATCATAAGAGAGATGCTCCAGTTTCCCAGTCATCTTTGTTCCCCTCCTCTGGGCTCTCCTCAAAAACAATTTCAATATAAATATTTGACACCGATCCCACAGGCTTCCTTTTCACTCTGCAAGCAACAATAATCCATGATTTCTAGAAATATCCCTCCAAGTATTAGGCTACAAAAGCATGAAACAGAAGTTTAGCAGTCTGCCAGCATTGCTCACTTACTGTGGAATTAGGTTTCTTCTGTTTAGAGTGGCAATTATCAGAAGTTGTTGGAACAGTGTCAGTGAAGTTCAACAAGCAGACAACATGTGTGTCTCAGCAGGCTTCAAACCCAAGGAAACAGCAGGACCTGTTAAATCTCTTTGAAGCATTTAAGTAAGGGCAGGAGAAACGTATTTTCCTTTAAATATTTCTTCAATTATATATTAGCAAAGAACAAATTCAGCTGGATCTTTGACAACTTGTACCACATCACTTTTTTTCCATATCTGTAAAGTATTAGAACTGGTTTTACCATAAACTCCTAAAGAATAATATAGGCTATCAGCTCTCTGCTCAGTGTCTCAGAACTTCATAGCTGACATAGCCTCACCCAAAAATATCAGTAACAAAAAATAATTTGCAGCACTGTTTACAGACTTTTACAAATAAAGTTAAACATTTTCCTCGCTACAATAGGAAACCAGCAATTTCAGTCCCTATGTTAGAGCCTTATGCTGTAAAAGGTACACAAAGGAAAGACATCTCTTATCACAGGCTAGTGATGGCAGCAACATTTCATGCTGTCCAAGATGTTCCAGATGTTCTAGTTTGAACACAGCTATATAACCACAGAAAGGCTACCTATTAAGCATTTTAGGTAAGGAAAAGAATTCAACTTAAACTGAACTTTACAACTCTGTGTGTAAATGTGGCTCAGTTCTCCCTTTAATGTATTTCCTTTGCAAGCATTAAGCTGCTTTGCTATCTACAGGAGCTGAAACACAGTCTTCCCCCAAACCTCCTCCTCTTCTCCAGGCTGAAAAAAGAACTCCTTCAACCTTTCTTTATGGGTTGTATTCTCCAACTCACTAATCACTGTCATAAGGCTCCACAGGAGCCTCTACACAGTTTTGCAATTTCTTGAACTGTGGAACCAAAATCAGAATCACCTAGACTGGAAAAGACCTTTAATATCAAGTCCAAGCATTAACCTAACACTGAGAAGTCCTTGACTAAATCATATCCCTAAGCACTGTGTCTATACAACTAACACACCACTGCCCTGGGCAATGTGGTATTTTAGCCTGAGGGTTTCAGACTTGCTGAAGGCAGGTGTTCACTTATCTGTTGTGCAGACTCTGAGAACAGAGAAAAACAAGGCCTACACAGTGACAGCCAGCTGAAGGAGGGAGACTTGTGATGCCAGGATGGCCCCATTTTGGCTGAAGAGCAAGGCCGCACGGAGACGAACATTGCGAACATCATCCTGCAAATAGATAAGCTGCTTCAAAACAAAAACCTGAAGGCCACGGGGCTCAGAGTGGAAATTTTTACCCTAATATCCCTATATGACTATAGTTACCCACTCTTCACTCAAATCATGCTGAATGCCACCCCAGGGCGGGGAGAGGAGATAGTATATAAGGAGCATAAGGGGGTATGTGTTGTTGGGGAGGAGAAGACCTCAGAAGAGGAAGAGGGAGTCGACAGGCTGTGCTCCTTCTCCTTCACCCAAGACAGGAACGCCTTCTTGGTAAGAACTGTGCTTCCACCTTTTGGTGAGTAATACCTGGGGTAGTATTTTGCTAGCATTATTATCACATATTAGAGCTATTGCAGAGAGTGAATTTATCAACAGCAACTCCGAATCTAGTCTCTGTCGCTTTAATAAATTACCTACTTTTGGTTACCTTGCAAATTTACTCAGTGCAAGTCCTTACCGGGGCTCTGAAACAAGCAAGTGCTTAGCTGGGGTACGTGCCTCTCACAGCCACATACCTTTCACACGACAGGCAATACATTCCAATGTCCAATGACCCTTTCAGTAAAAAATTCTTCCCCATATCCAGTCTAAACCTCCCTTGGTGCAACTTGAGGCTACCTCCTCTTGTCCTATTGCTTATTCTTGGGAAAAGAGAATGACTCCCACCTCATTACAATCTCCTTTCAAGGTAGCTGCGGAGAAATACAAGGTCCTTTCTACAGCACAAGTCTTGTGAGGAGCAGCTGAGGGAACTGGCTGCCTTTTCTCCAGGCTAGAAACTGCCAGTTCTTTCAGCTGCTCCTCACAAGACTTGTGCTCTAGAGCCTTGACCAGCTTTGCTGCCCTTCTCTGGACACGTTCTAATGCCTCAGTGTCCTGCTTGTAGTGAGGGGCCAAAACTGAAAAAAAGACACAGTATTCCCAGGTATGCCTTTGGAAGTGTCAAGCACAGCAGAATTATCATGTTCTTTGATCTACCAGCTATGCTTTTGCTGACGCAAGATGAGGACACTGTTTGCCTTTCTGCTGCAGGACACTTTGCTAGCTCGTGCTCAAGTTGATGTCTATTAGGACTTCCATGTCTTTTTCTGCAGAGCCATCCCTCCAGCCAGTCAGATGACTGAATGAACTGTTCCTTGGAATTAATCCATTCCAAGAAAAGGCCTTAACATCTGCTAAACCTGATGCCATTCTTGTTGACCCAATCTTCCTACCTGTCAGTGTCCCTACGGTGGCTCTCCCTCGCACTGTATCTACTTCGCCCAGTTTGGTGTTATTTTCAAACTATACAACCATATACTCAGCTCCATGTACGAAGATTGAAGAGTACTGGGCCCATGCTGACGGTAAAGAGCTCACTCTCATCTGGCTGCCACCAGCATAGCTCCAGAATTCAAATTAAACACCATCCAATCTCATAACTAGAATGCAGGCTACAACCCGACTGAGGTCTGTCTGTGAATTCCAAAACATTTCCAGCCAGAACCAAAGGCATTTCGTATGCAGAAACACAAATTAAGAGACTGCTACAACAGGCCTACACAAACTTACAAACTAAGCTTAGAAGCAACTGGATTTCACCATTGCTGGTTTTGCAGATGTTATACTTCAACTCCAAGCCTGCTCTAGTGATAAAGGCAGTTTAAGTTCCTTCCCTGAATACAAAAGATGCCAATAGTGAGATAATTATGCAAACAAGACACCCATCGTCGGCAGAGGAAAATGCCACACTGGTCCTTCAAGACATCAATATATAGAATGAAGGACAGACAGATGAGTCATCTCATGTGATGTGTCACAGGTCTGAAAAGAAGCTGTTTTAGCTTAGTTTCAGGGCTCCAGTTCCCTTCAGGCTGA